ATTGTAAATTTTGGTCAATGACATGAGACAAAGTATATGTGAACTGCTGTATGAAAAGTGAATTTACTCTGTAAATCTTCACCCAAATCCTAAAACAAAAAAAAAAAAAGCATCCTTTATGGTAACAGCATTAGTTGAAATAATACAGAATTTTTCCCTTCATCTTAATTATATGCAGCTAAGGCTTCCTGACATTCTTGCATGGCTCTCACTCCAGATGGTGCCTTACTAGTAGAAAGAACCACGTAACCTCACCACAGTCTGACAACAGCCCCACCTCAGAAATATTTTAATCTTACTCTCTTAACTACTTCATGTTAAAGGATAAAGAAAATAATTTAGATATGTGTTTTTATTATGTAAAGAAATTCTAACTACTTAAGAATAAACTCTGTAACATACCTTACACCTAGGAGGCACTAATAAATATATTGTTGTTGACTGAACTGTGGAACTCATTTTCAGTTCTGCAATAAAATAAAGTTGGCATGCTCCTTACCCTCATTTCCTCTTGTTGCTGCCTGAGCTGCTCATGATCAATAGCTGGAGGAGGTAATTGTGCTATTAGTGCCCGAGTTTCCTCAATCCAGGGGCTGAGTTCCTCGTAAGTTTCCCAAAACTGATTCACCAAAACCTGTGCCCGCTCTAGGCGGGCATAACGCTCTGAATTCAGTAGGCTTATGGCTTCATATTGCTGTGTTAGAGATTCTGTCTTTTCCTATGAGCCAAACCAGAACAAAATCTAAGTATTATTGCTATTATGAACACTTCTTTTATAAAAAATTGTAGGTATATATATATTAAAAAGTCTAAAAACAATACACATTAAAATGTTAAAAACTATAGATTTATCTAGTAAAAGTGATTTTAATTTTTTATACTTAATAATTTTTAAACAAGTTCCTATCAAACATGTGCATGATTTCTGTAATTCCTATGATATGAAAGTATTTTTAAAGGCACTAAAATGGTCCGTGATGGGGTCTTTGTCCATCAGGTTTCACTTGCCCTTTTCCTTCTGACAAACAAGTCCCCACAAACCTGGCATTTATGCTTCCTATGTTTGGGATGAGTAGCTCAGTGAGATATGATGACTTCTGAGAAAATTGTGGTTAACCACACTCTTTATAAAAACAAATAACTGGTCTACAAACTATGTCTTTGGGCCAAGCATTTTAGAAGTGGATAGGCCTTTTAGAGGAAGGGATTAATGTCCACATATGGTTCTGCAAAATGTAGAAATACCATAAAATTACTCAAAGCTCACTCCTTATGGACTAAGGATAAGCAGTGATTCCTGTTACGTTATGTGATACAGGTGTTTAGACATCTGTGAACATAGGGAAAGGAATCTGAGTTCCAGAACATCAATGTGGGCTTTAATACCCAATCAGTAAAAAGGAAGCCTAGGAGAAAAGAACCTCTTAAACTACCATTGTACTTCTAACTCATCATGATCAAGACAAGAACACAAATGTGGTGAATAAACAAACACAACTTACCTGTAATATAGCTTTCTGTTCCTCCCCACATGTGCCAAAGATTTCACCACGATGACTGAAGAGCTCATCCACTGAATCTTTGTGTCGAATGATATCAATGGAGAAAGCCTTTGAAAAATAAACTAGAATTAGGTCAAGAAGTAAAAGGACACTAATTTTCTTCTGCTTAAATCTGTGCTAGTGAAAAGCTAGCTAGTTAAATCCAGACATAGCCTATGATAAATTATTTGCTTAAAAGCCACCATCAAGAACCATATTTGTTCTTAAAAAGTTTGACATATTTGCAGGGGACATCAAGCTCAACTGGCATAACATACTACACAGAAACACTGTTCCACATCCTGCTTTGGCAAGTAGCGACTAGGATCTTAAAAACTTGTAAGTGGCCATCTAGATGCAACGATGGGTCTCTCTTCATCCAAAGCAAAGAAGAAAGAAAAAACCAAAGCAGCATGGAAACAATTAGTCCTTGGGGCTGGTACACCATGCAATCTTCAGCATGCATGGCTATGAAACCAGAATAATTAGATGGTGTCTGGCTAACACTTAGTGGGCGATCTTTGTAAAAGATCCTGGACAGAATGGGAGACAATGTGGAACAAAACTCAAAATCATTAAAAAAAAGAAAAAAAAAAAAAAAGGGACCAGGTTTGCTGGTCTGATAGAACCTGGTGGAATCCCTGAGATTATGGCCCCTAGCTGCCCTTCAGGCCTGGAATTGAACCCACTCCTATGGCTTCTAGCCAAACAAAAGACAGGCATATGAGCTGAACATTTACATTAGGTAGATATACCCCTTGGAGAGATCAGTCATGGGAGAACAGAAGGGCTGTGTATGCACAGGGAGACAGCTCAGGGGGCAGGAGTGAATGGGAAGCATGGAGACAGGGAAGAGGTGGCTATGGGGAGGAAGTAGAAATAAAGCTGTTGCATTGTGGGAAATTGCAGTCAATGTCATGAGACAAAATGTATGTAAACAGCTATATGGAAAATGAATTTGCTTTGTAACACAGTAAAGGTTTAAAAGAAAAAAATTTGACATTTTCCCTATCCACTACCTTCAAAGCCCATCTTTTAGTAGCTTACAAAATCATCTCCTCTCCTAAATACTGTCCATGAAATTGCTAACTACTTTTATTTAATTGTTAAGTATTCTGAATTAATGAGACTATTTCTCTTCTTACACACAGCAAAGTATCTCTTCTTCATCCAAAATATTCATAAAATTAATTTCTACCCATCATCATGGGACATCTGGTGGCGTAGTATCTAAGTCATTTGACTGCTAACCAGAAGGCTAGCGGTTCAAACCCACCAGCCACTCCTCAGAAGGAAGATTGGGTGATCTACTTCTGTACTGATACCTGCCTTGGAAACCAAGGGGTCACTATAAGTTGGATGTGCCTTGATGACAGTGAGTTTGGTTTTGGTTTTATCCATCATCATGACATTGACTTATTCTACCTGATCTGAGTTAGTGAGGAAACTCTTCTTAGTCACCAAACCCACTGCCATCGAGTCAGTACCAACTCATAATGACTCCCACTGGATTTCCAAGGCTATAAATCTTTACAGAAGTAGATTGCCTCATCTTCCTTCCACAGAGCAGCTGGTGGGTTTGAACATCCAACCTTCTGGTTAGCAGCCAAAAGCCTTATCTACTGTACCACCAGTCACACTAAGCTCTTGATTATTCTACTAGCTCAGGACTCAGTGGACACTTACCTTCTGTACCTGCAGCTGAGCTGTGGTTTGGTCTTGCTCCAGGCGGATTGGACCAAGGGCCATCAGTTTCCGTTTTGTTTCAGCAACCCATGCTAGCTCTGCATCAGCAGCTTGCTCATACTAATACAAGTGTTGGGGGAAAAGAAAGTTACACATAGCCACAGTCCTACTTCTTATAACAAATTTATTTAACACAGAAAAGCCTTTATTTTGCAGTCCCAAAAGTAAGGGGAAAACTTCATAAAATGACAAATCAAGGTGCAGACAAATGTGTTAATCACATTTCAACTTCATTAGAAAGAAGTTACAGAATCTAATTACTAGTCCTACAGCTAGAAACAACAGCAGAAATTTACACCCTTCAATAGAAGTATACTTCTAATCAGAGCATTTTTATAAGGCTGCAATCTTTCTGCCAATCCTCGTTCTTAGCCAGGCACCAAACAGTAGTAGTTTTACTCATATGTTTAAATATAAACTTACTTAACATGGCAACAGACAGCTGAATCAAGTTAACTAAGAACTTGTTCAGCTGAAGAAGGATTAAGACCCCAGAAGGACTCTAAACCTTTAAATAGTTATAACAGCTAGACCTTTACGTAGTCACAAAGAAAACCTAAGGACAACTGCTTTTTCATGAATGTTTTCCAATCTTTTCTCTCTTTCTCTTCAATTCTGTCAACCTATGCAAATATTTAGAAAAGAGTAAGCTTCTCTTAAGCTTACTCCTAAATTTCATATTTAAATATCTGGCTAAGATTACGGGTATCAATGAAAATAGATTTGGGTATATACCAGGAGTATATACCAGGGTATATACAAACCTTGGTGTGGCTGAGAAAGCATTTGCTTATCACTATGAACCCAAGAAGTCGTGCTATGTTAATTTACTTTTTGTGCTATGGCACATTAATAGGTTTGTATCCAGCTCCAAAGAAAAGCAAGTAACTTCTTTCCAGAAAGCAGGAAGGAAAGAGACTGAGGGAAATATGTCACCTGTGTTTACTGACAGGGCTCTATTTTGGATGGCTCTGCTATTTCGGTTAGCATGTTTGATAGTAATTATAGTTCTTGGTTCCTTCCCCTCTTCCATTTAATGCTAAGGCAGTTGATTAAGTTAAACTCACAGTGTGATGCATTTGGAACTTTTGAGTCTAGATATTATCTACTCTAATCACAAGCACCTGCTTAGCAGGAACCAGCTAAGAAAAGGCCTCAGGCAGAAGCCTTCTCCTCTCCAAATTCTTCTCTAACTAATGGGGTCAAGTCTGTTGAAATTATTGGATCAAACCTGCATCTATCCTCACAAACTTCTGAACAATCACTTACCATCACTGAAATATGTTTATTCCATCATATTTAACTTGATCTCATTATTTCTGTTCTTGAGCCTGTAATAGTACCTTGTCAGTACACAAGCCATGATAGTACTTCATACACAGATCCCCACTGCCTAAGACATTGATGCAGAGGTGTTAGAAACATTACCTGTTGTGATCTCTGAATAGCGGCATCAATTTCATCCACCCTTTGTCCAACAGTGTCACTGACCAGCTTGTACTGCTCATTGGCATCAGACACAAGTTTATCCAGCCCTTCTCTGGCTCTCCAAGGCACGAGCTCTAATAGAGCACGGCTCACCTCATTTACTGTGTCCAACACTAGCCTGTGCTCCATGACCTCCTTCTTCAATTCCTAAGGAGGGAAGAGAGTTTTCAGGCCATACTTTGCTAAATAAAGCACATTAGCAGCTGTGCTGGTGCAAAGTGCTATCTCTACCACACATCCCAGCAGGGCACTGACCTCGTTCCTTCAGTTATTTTTTTCTTGTCTCAAATTTTTCACTCATTCTGCAGCCTGACGTTAGGCTTAGCTACTGTTTATTTAGAACTATCTATAAAGACTTCTTGGGTCAGATTGTCTCTGGGTGAAACAGTGTTCTTTTATTATTTTCTCCTTATTTTAACAGAATGATAACTAATGCTTTAAGTTAACAAGTACCTACACAGTATTTCTGTGTATCTAGTACTGTACTGTATCCTGCATGAGAATCAAATAGAACCATGAAGTGCTCTCTAAACAATGAATGATGACAGTAAATTGTCATACACTCATACTAAACAAACTTCCTAGTGATTTAGCATTAACTATTCTTTCTTATGTGTTTTTGTTTCTATCTTTTGTTATGCCAAAATTTTGTGTCTATGAGTAATTATGAAAAGCAGCAGTTAGAAATGTTAGGTTTAGATTGAAGGTAGAGATAGTTGGTAATGAAATGTAAGGATTTGAAGTTAAGGATTCTAATTCTCTTTTGTCTTCTCCAGTCTGTGCATGGCAGCTTACCTTCTGTCTTTGCTGAAACTGGGGTATCTGCTCCCCTGTGGGAGACTGTCCTCCACTGGTTGCCAGCTCTTGCTCCACCTCCCTCAGCCACCCAGTCAGTTCCTCGTAAGTAGACTGGAACTTGGTGGCCAGCTGCCGGGCTTGCTCTAAAGTTCTGAGGGCCTTGGAGCTAGTGACTGTGATGTCCGTGTAGCGAGTCTTTATACCGTCCAGTTTCTCCTGGATAAGCAATACCTCTTCTCCTGTGAAAGACAGTATACAATTATTCATATTTAAGAAATCTGGAGATGAGGGAATCCCTTTAATCCCCTGTTTTCAAATCAGACCTTTACTTTCACAGATACTCTCATCCTATGGTAGTGATTTCACTTAACATCCTTCATTGGAAATAAAAGAAACTGCTACTTGGTAAAAGAAGCCACTTCTAAGATTACTAAGACCTAAGTTTAACTGTAGGTTGTTTCCAAGATGTTCCCTGCATCTTTCATTGAAGGCTAGATTTCAACATTATCAATTATCAGGGGAAAGTGGATTAAGGGGGAAGACATCTTCTATAACCAGATGGAAGACAACAAAATCTTTTATAAAAGTTTTCAAGGACTTAGCAGGAAATGGGAACACAGGCTCACCAGCCTCCCGGAAGCACATGATAATACAAATGAAAGAGGAGTGGCTAACGCATGGCGCTATGTCCCTGGATATGTCATTGTCTCTATGACTATAGAGGTGCATTTTTCAAAGTACCTGTGGTTTGTTTTAGAAGAGCCTGACCGTTTTTAATAGCTTGATCTACATTCTTCTTTCTATTAACAATCTCCTCATTTAAAGCCTGAAAGGAAAGAATACCATTAATCCCAAAACCATGGCAAAATAAAGCAAAAAAAATTTAAGATCTTTAAAAGATCAAATTTCAAATAAAGAAATGATCTTTTTAGATGAGTATCAGTTTAGTTTTTTTTTCCCGCCCCCAAAAAAACATCAGATATTTGACTCCCTCATTATCTCTTTGGTCACCTTTATTAATTACCCAAAATTATTAAATCAAACAGTTAACAGCAAGTTCTCCTTTCTACTGGATAAGAAGGATTCAGGATTCATCAGCTTTACCAATTTACTGGCACCAAGCCTGAGCACAAGAGAGCCATAAGTGAAGCTTAGCAAAAACATCTATATTATACCCAAAGCAAAGAATAAGAAAGTTCAAGAGAAAAAAATTAGGAAGCACAGGATGCCTTAAATCAGGAGCCTAGCTGAAAACTCAGTATTTCAAGTCAACGAAGCAGAAGAATCTTAGCCTGTTAAAAAAAAAAAAAGAAACAACAAACAACTTTGCCTATATTTATAACCTCTGAAAAGAAATGTCATTAAAATGAAATGGAAAAGGTAAACTGCTCTTTCTATTAAAATGCACAGAATCCCTGGAATCTGAGTATACAAATTCCAGAAATATTCTAAAAGTTATAGTAATTTGATCAAATTCTGGGCACAATTTGGGTAGACCTGGTTCTGTTAAAGTACATTCTCTTTCATAAAACAGCTTAAATGGAAACCTGGAGATACCATTAATGATGTGAAGCACGAGGTAGAACTGAGACAGTCCCTGACTCTACTCTGTACCATTTTCTAGGATTAATGATTGAGTTTGCTGAACACAACTATTTCCATTGACTTATCAAAATAAGTAACACCAAGATGAACTGTGCACTTGTGTATAAAATAAACTCAGTTTGGAATGGAAAAATAAAAGAGAGAGAGAGAGAGAGAGAAACATGAGTCAAAACTACAAAATAACCAGTAACGTAACCAATAAGAATGGAAAACATGAATACCAAGTGGTCAGCATGCTGTTTCTGCAGGACATCCTGTCTGTAATCCTTTACGAACACTGAACTGAGCTTGTCCTCAACCTCAGCCAGCCAGTTGAGCACCTCCACCTCATCCTCACCAAACAGTCTAGCATTAGATAGTGCTTGTTCAAGCAGGGCTGCTTTCCGGCAGCACCGGTCTTGAATCTCACTGTATTGGGCCTGCAACGAGTCTAGCTTTTCTGAAAGCACACCCTGTTCTGCAGAACACGTCAGGGAGGAGAGGGACTGCCCAATTTTGACTGCCTGGTGCACATCTGTTGCATGGCTTTCTATTTCTTCCTCCAGAGCCTGGAAATCCAGAGTGGAAAAAATGAATAACAGAAACAAAATAAATGAAAAGTCAACATGAAAACAATGAGTAACAAATGATGTAACAAATTAAATAATAACATAAAAATTCACCTACTGAAGGGCAAAAATAATATCAACATTGGAAATGAGATGCTTTTCCCTGATGACAGCTTGTCAGTTTCTATTTTTATTTCAAGAATGTGACTTTTGCAATTAAAATTAAAATTAAAATTCTAACTATATTTGAAATTAAACTTTAAAAACTCCAGAAAATACATCTTCTAGAATGCTGTAGTCAGTTTTCTTATTTCCAGGATTTTGTGTTCTAGTTCTATGTTTTCAATTACCATAACTACATTCCTACCTTGTGCCGAACAATCTGTTGTTGAATTTTGGCAGTCTGAGTGCCAACAGGTTCCGAGTTAGCAAGTTTTTTCTCTGTGACAGATAAGAAGTCAGAAATAGGCTCAGCTGTCTCATGGAATTGTTTGGCCAGAACCAGGATATCTTCCAGCTGTTTTTGCCTACACAAATATATAGAACAAGATGCTCAGACAAAAAGTCATACAAAGACTTGTAATATAAAGACCAGTCTTTATCAGGTATAGTTTAAATATCAACAGTCAACAGATCACACATTAGTACATTATATATATCCTGGAAATTTACTTGGGATCTTAACTCTTATTTAATATAACGTGTATATTAAGCATGGATTTCAAGTATTCTGTACATTAAAAGTAGCAAATTACAATGGGGAGAGGAAGCCTAGATGTTGGAGGCAGCCTAAAAAGAGACAGAAAAACTAAAAAATGACCATAGAACTACATTAGCACATAGATTAGTAACTAAAGGTCATGATGATGACTATGAATAGACTAAATGATATGTCATTTGACAAGTCCGCAAGTATATGATGCGCCTTAGTTCAGCAAACCTTTACTGAACATATACTTTGCACAAGGCTCACCCTATGGTGGCTACCATTGGCAAATTTATTTTAATAAGAAATTATTTAAATAAAAAAATTTTAATTATATGAAAATTTAATTGTTTCAATATAAAGAAAACCTATTTCCAGATGTTGCCAATTTTGTCAATATAAGTACAGAATTTCCTTTCCTAGTTTATGCCAGTCTTCAAAATACATCTTTTATTAAGAAAACTAAACAAAACTTAACAAAACTAAAACATACTAACTAAAGAGTATAATTAAATTGGAATCTCTTTTTTAAAAATTTCCTCTAATTTTCAAATATTTCTGTATCATCTCAGATCTTGGAATCTGAAAGTCTGAAGGACTGAATGTAATAGGATTTGCAGTAGCAGAGAGAAAAAAGAGTTAAAATAATTTAGAAGCACAAAGAATCCAATGCTAAAGGATCTGAATCAAAATCTTTACAATGTCTGTAACAAATGAAGCTGTCCTTATGTTGGGAAGATGGAAGTAGGGAGAGTAGAAATAGTTTTTTTTTTTTTTTTTTTTTAAAAAAAAAAGATATAAAGAAATCATGATTTTAAGGAGTTCATGAACCACAGAGATAAGTACACAAAGTAATGACCATCATACATGGTGCAGATAAAGAGATACAGCAATTAAGAAGAATAAGTTATCTTATGCTGGGTATGGTAGTTAAGGTTGTGTGTCAACTTGGCTGGGCCTGGTTGAGTGGCTGGGCAGCTGGATGTAGTTATTCCCCATGGTGAGATTGGTAATTAACTTCATGATGGAATCTACTGGAGCAGCTGAGTAGCTGCTTTAGAGATGTGGTCTGCTTCCAGTATTTAAGCAGCAGCTTTGAAGAAGGTCTCTGGCTGATGGCATGCTTGAATCCTGCATATAGCCAAGTCACTGTTCAGGAGCCTGCCAGGCTGCCTTGCCGATCTTGGGACTTTTTCAGGACTTGAATCAATAAATAATAGCCTGCTGTGTGGTTTGGTACTATCACGACTGTGCTATTTTATTTGCCAACTTTGGGCTTGACAGCCTCAGCAGTCAGCAGCTGCATGAGTGAAGAAAAGCCTCTAGCTTCAGTGGCCTGGGAGCAAGAGGCAGAGCTGAAGCCCAAGGTTGAAGGACTTTAACCCAGCCCCTAGGGCTTGGCACTTTGAACGGAGACTTCTAGCCTCCAAAACTGTAAGAGAACAAACTCCTATTTGTTAAATCCATTTCATTTGTGGTATATTCCTGTCAGAGTGGCACTAGGTAACCAGAACACTGGAGAATAATGAACCTTCACAGAAGAAGCAGGGAAGGAGCTGGGGTGAAGGGAGAAAGGCATTTCAGGGAAGATGCAACACCATTAATAAATATACAGAAGATTTTGAAAAACATAATAGTTCATTTTACCTAAGGAGTGAGAATAGTGGGAACTAAGAAAGATAAAAACCAAAACCAAACCAAACTCATTACCATCAAGTCAATTCCAATTAACAGCAATCCCCATTGGGTTTCTAGGGCTGTAAATCTTAATGAAACAGACTGCCTCATCTTTCTCCCACAGAGTGGCTGGTGAGTTCCATCCACTGACCTTTTGGTTAGCAGTCAAATGCCTTAACCACTGCACCACCAGAGCTCCTTAAGAATAAGTTGAGGTCAAATAGTAAAGAGCTTAGAATGTTGGATTGAAGAGTTTAGGTTCTACTTTATAAGCAACAGGGAGCCCATTAAATGTTTTTGAGCATAGAAAGATATGATCAGAGGTATATTTCAAAAAGGTTCACCCACTGCCGAAGAATGGGGTGGGTGGGGATGAAAGAGGGAAGGCCTGAGGGTAGTAAGAAAGGTGTGTTAGGAGAGTGATTAGTTAGGGTTGCCTGAATAGCCTGAGGGAGAGCTCCTAAGTAATAAACTGAAGTAGGAGAATGGGATTTAGAGAAATGGATGGGTAGGAGAGACACTGTTGTTGTTGTTATGTGCCATCGAGTCAGCCCAGACCCATAGCGACCCCTCCTTGGGTTTCCGAGGCAGTGTCACTACGGAAGTAGGATTGCCCAACCTTCCTTCCGAGGAGTGGCTGGTGGGTTTGAACCGCCAGCCTTCTGGTTAGCAGTCAAGTGCTTTAGCTACTATGAGAGACACTGGAGAAGTAAAATGAGTAGAATTCAGCATCCTGACAGATGTGGGGAACAAAGGAGGAAAAAAAAAAAAAGAAGGTGAGGTTTTAAGCCTAGGTAACTGGAAGGCTGATGGTACCACTAACGGAAATGAACAGAGAGGGGAAAGTAAGAGCAGAAATCTGCAAAGTAGATTTGCAAATAAAAATGAACGAAATTCTTTCATTTTTGTCTCTCTCACTAATATGGGCAAACCATACTATGGCTACCTAGAAAACTTAAAGGATACAATAATAAATTATCATTTCTAAAACTCTCATACTGATTTCTGATTAGCTGACATTTGTAAAATTAGGGACAGTATAAGCTACAAGTAAAGATATCCATGTGACATATTAAGTCCAAGTGATTTTGAGTCAGAGCTGTGAAAAGAGAAGGCACTTCTTAGAAGGAAAAGAAGCTACTGCCTATCTTTTGGCCATTTATTGACAAAAGTTCATGCAGCTCTGGTCACAGGGGACATCAAGTTCAACTGGAATAATATACTACACAAAAACATTGATCTACATCCTATTTTGGTAAGTAGCGACTGGGGTCTTAAAAGCTTGCAAGTAGCCATCTAAGATGCAACAATTTGTCTCTCTGTCTGGAGCAATAAAGAGTGAAGAAAATCAAAGATGCATGGAAACAATTAGTCCAAGGGACTAGTGGACCATAGAACCTCAGCCTATATGACCCTGAGAGACCAGAAGAACTAGATGGTGCCTTCCACTCAGAAATGGATCGAAATTGGATATTTTGACTAAAATGGGAACAAAATATGAAACCAAACTAAAAAATCATAAAAAAGACAAGGCTTACTGGTCTGATAGAGACTGCTGAACCCCTCAAGACTATTGCCTGTAGTCACTTTTCGGGCCTGGAACTGAACTTACTCTGTGGCTTAACTTTCAGTCAAGCAATATAGCTAGGCCTACAAGATGAACAATTGAATCAGGTAGGTACATTCGTTAGAACAATCAACCATAGGTGATCAGAAAGCAGCATTTGCACGAGGTGATAGCTCTGAGAGCAGCAATTGATAGGAAAAGAAAGATAAGGGAAAAGGTAACCACTGGCAGAAAGCAGGAAGAGAGCTGTTACATTGTGGGGATTGTGATCAATGTCACGAAATAAAATGTGTGAAAACTGTTGAATGGAAAATAAACTTTCACCCAAATCACAATTCTCTTTAATGTCTATGTATTCAAGAGGACTGCAGACTAGTGCCTAGATACAAAAACATCCAATGCAAATACCAGGATAAACTAATAGACTAGAAATATAATAAATGCCAATTCCAAGTATCAAAAACATAAATACGAGAGGAAAAAAGTGTTTCTCTCAACTTAGAAAGTAACTTAGCTGGACTGTAGGAGTAAGCATCTGTCATTTCCAACTATGATTACACTGCAGCAGAACAGGAACAGAAGACGGAGCCTTCTAGTTCTCTGAAATTTATGGAGTAGTAAAGCTCATTTCCTGTCTGTGATTCTGGTTATGAGGTTCATCTCTGAACACCTAACCCTCTTCAAGATAAAAGTCATTAAACACCTTCTCAAGCACTGGATAAATCACTGCAGGAGCTCTTAGAGCATCTCAATGATAAAACCAAACCCAGCCCAAAGCCACCAAGTCAATTCCAACTCATAGTGACCCCCCACTGGGTTTCCAAGGCTGTGAATCTTTACAAAAGTAGATCGCTTCATCTTCTTCCCACAGAACAGCTGGTGGGTTTAAACTGCCAATCTTCTGGTTAGCAACCAAATGCCCTACCCCTACGCCACCAAAGCTCCTTATCTCAATGATAAACCAAAATCCACTGCTTGGAGTTGCTTCTAACTCATAGCGACCCCTCCTTGGGTTTGCAAGGCAGTATCACTATGGAAGTTAGATTACCCAACCTTCCTTCTGAAGAGTGGCTGGTGGGTTTGAACCGCCACTCTTCTGGTTAGTAGTCAAGTGCCTTAGGCACTATGCTACAATAGCAGGTCAAAAGTAAGATAAAACAGAAACAAGTCTCTGACCCATTCCTCAAAACCCCTCTGGCCTTACCTGGCTGCTGCCTTGCTGAGTAGTTCAGTCCATCTATTTTCTAGACTCTCCAATTGTCCAGTAATTTTCTCTCTATCAGCCAGCTCAGCTGATTGGGCTATTCTGCCTCCTTCTGCTTGAAGCATGTCTACTGTGGCCTTTCGATCATCTAGAAGCCGCTGGAGCAACTATTGTATACACGTTTAAAGAGAATAAAAAAAGGGATAATGTAGAGTCATTTTTCAGTCTGAAATAAGGAAGGGAGAAAACTCACTGAATCTTAAGCTGAACTGAGTAAGAGTTTTTTTCATTCTTGAGGCAAAAACATGAGGTAGAGCATAATTCCCATCATTTACATAAACTTTTCAAAAAATTAAGTTTTTAAATGGAGTGATGATAGGGGACTTCCTTTGAACAAGATAAAAATGCACTGAAATGGAAATTAAATATTATAGATAGAAATTTGTATATAATACACAACATCATTTGTAATTCTGCTAACCTGATAAACCAAAAACTTCTTGAAATCAACCTGGAGGTGAAACAGCAAAATAAGATACATGAACAAATAAAATTATTCAGCTCAACATGTGCCACAGTAAACTAGTAGATTAAAGTTGTTGTTGTCATCAGGTGATGTAGAGTTGGCTCCAACTCATGGGAACATTCCAATTCATGTAAAACAGAAACAAATGCTGCCTGGTCCTACACCATCCTCACAATCTTTGCTGTCTGAGCCCATTATTACAGACACTGTATCAATCCATCTCATTGAGGGTTTTCCTCTTTTTTGCTGACCCTCTACCAAATACGATGTCCTTCTCTGAGAATTGGTCCCTCCTGATAATATGTTCAAAGTAAGGGAAACAAAGTCTTACTATCCTTGCTTTTAAGAGCATTTGGCTATATTTCTTCCAAGACAGACTGGTTCATTCTTCTGGTAGTACACGGTATGTTCAATATTCTTCACTAGCACAATTCAAGTGCATCAATTCTTCTCCAGTCTTCCTTTTGCATTATCCAGCTTTCACATGCAGATGTGGTGATTAAAAATCCCATGGCTGGGTCAGGCATACCTCAGCCCTCAAATGACATCTTTGCTTTTTAATTCTTTAAAGTCTTTTGCAGCAGATTTGACAATGCAATTATGTCATCTGATTTCCTGACTGCTGCTTCCATGTTACAGGTTTAAAGTAAGATGATGAAATAAGTTTCCACACCATTCTTTTACAGAATCACTCACAACAGGTTAGGATTCTACTAAAACTCCTGAATATGGTCCTGAAATTATAAGCAAATGTGTTGTCTGCCACTCCCTAAGGCTGTTACAGTTCACTGTCTCAACATTCTCACTTACCTTCTGTTCTTGGATCTGTGCTTTCACCACTTTATACTCAGCAGATGGAGGTTTCTGATTGGCTATGAGCTCCTCTGTGTCTGCCAACCAGCTGAGCAATGGCTCCAAGGCATCTTGAAACTTCCCACAATGCAACAAAGCCTCCTGCAGTTGTGCAATTCTTTGTGCAACCTACATCAGACACATAGATTCATTATGAGAAAGGAGAAAAGAAAGCAGTTTTTAAATTGCTACTGACCCTTTTAGCAACTACTGATTGCAACTGCTAAATTTTTATTTGCATTCAGGTCCTAATGAAACCTTAGATTTAAAAGCCGCCTCTTTTTCTATGCTTCTGTTCCCAGTACCTTGTTACATCCTTGCTACTCACCTTTTTATTCAGTGTATTCCAGCGAGCATTGATCTCTTCCATGTCATGCTCCAAACCCTGCACGTCACAGTTTTTCCCCGCACTCTGAATCAATCCCTGGCCAAGTCCATTCACCTGCTGCAATTTCATCTGCAGGGGATCCACTTGTTCTTTCTGAAATGTCTGGATAACAGCAAGTCAAAGACTTAACCTGACGGCTATTAGACACTCTACACCACAGTGTCTGGCTATTATTGGGAGATTTACGATTCAATGAAGAAGAGCAAAGAATAAAAAGGAGGAAACAAGTAATTTGTGCAGGGTAGTATCAAGGATGACATGTGGTTTCATATTTCAGTAAACCTTCTGTGGATATAGGAGCTCTGGTAGCGTAGCACCTAAGGCACTTGACTACTAACCAGAAGGCTGGTGGTTCAAACCCACCAGCCACTCCTTGGAAGGAAGATGGGGCAATCTACTTCCGTAGTGATGCTGCCTCGGAAACCCAAGGAGGGGTCACTATGAGTCGGGTCTGACTTGACGGCACATAACAACAACAACAAAATTTGTGGATATGTAATTAGAGTTATGGCACTACTTAGGTCTTTAACCCAATGACTCCTGTGCTTTTGTGTGTTTTAAAATCTTCCTGTTTAATTTTTAATGCAAAAAACTGAAGGGAATAGAGAAGTATTGTCCTCTAAATATCTTAACGGTAAGTGTGATATGTATTAATACTAAGAGGGAAAAATGATATCAAATCACTAGTATTTAAGATTAAAAATACCTTGGGGAATAGCCTTAACTGACCACTGATATATGCACTGTTCTTCTTTGACTAGAACTAATAACTCAATTAGTCAGAACATATTAATGGCGTGAAAAACGCCAACCTCATAGCTTTATTCCCCTGTGGCCATTTAACTTCATTCTGTTCCAGGACCAGACTATACACAGCCAGTAATCTTGAAACTGTATTCCTCTGGTTACAAAAGGAAATGGCCAATATTAAGACAGTTCCTTAACAATTTCAAGCACATACTCTAAACTATAGATATATAAAAAATACTTTATAAAAATGATACTCTATATCCAGGTCCACTATGAAACAATGGAGTATTAAAATAATGTGAATAAATGTAACGAACAATTTGCACACTTAACTATACCTAAATTCTACTGTAGACATGAATTTCCAAAATTTCTAAAAGGAAATAAAAAGGGTTAGAAGAATGGTATCCCTGCTACATGAAACATATTAAGAAATGAAATAAATACGTCCCTAAATCAGATTTCTCTCAATTACCAGAGGATAAAATCAACAATATTATACTAGCCTGCAGTTATTTCTACTTTTTTCTTCCATAAAACGTTTCTTCAGTTTTGAGACAGGTGAGTCAATTATGACCAGAGGATGACAGAAAATAGAAAAGGAAAAATAAATGTACAATGTGAAAGAAAATAAATGTAAAATAACTTTACATACGATCTCCATGAGACAACACAGCAAGGTTAGAGTTCAAGTCTACCCAAAGACACCTCACAAGAAAAGCCTGGTGACCTATTCATGAAACAGCAGCTACTTAAAACCTTATGGAGCACAGATCTAGCTGACACACATGGGGTCTTCATGAGTTGGAATTAACTTGATTGCAAGTGGTTTCGGTTTTTTATATGAGACCACAGAATATGCTAGGATTAGAAAAGTGATTCTAGACAGAATGGTCTATGGCTGGATAAGTGAGTCACCAGGAAAGGACACCCCCGGAACAATGCGAAAGAAAGGCTGCAAAGGTAAACTGCCAGTGCACTTCATTTCATACTACAATTTGGTTATACCGTATTTTGTTAGGCAACACAAGGTATTCAGTTAAAAATGGCTGTTTTCCCAACAATGTAATTTTGAGAAAAAGCAAGTAATATAATCTATTTTCAAACATTAAAGATGTTTTCACTGTAGAAAAACCAGAGCAGTGGGAAAAAGACAAACAAGTATGTTTTAAGTTGGCTTGATTCAATAAAATGGTAAGGAGTCAGGGGTTGGAAAGGCAAAGAAGGCAGAAAGCCAGAGGAAAAATGTCAAGTCCACACCATGTAGTGCTCTTTTTTATCCAATAATAAAAATCTGTGTGGCACTAAAACTGATATTTAAATTTCTTTCTATGCTGTCCAATACAGTAGCTACTACTACACATGGCTATTTAAATTTAAATTAATTAAATATTTGAAATATTAAAAATGCAGTCCCTCAGTCACCCAAGTCAATTTTATGTGGTCAACAGCCACAGGTGGCTAATGCCTATTATCCTAGTTAGCACAGGTACAGAACATCTCCATCGTGGCAGGAAGTTCTCTCCGAGTGTGCTATAAACGATACAGAAGAGTAAAACATATTTAAATATTTAAATAGCTTAAAAATCTTTCATATACTAGAGCCAATTCTTGAAAAATATCTCAATTTCTTTATTTATGAACATTTCCTATTAGAAGCATCAGGGATTTCTTTCTTTGTTTCCCATCTATACTCCATGGATTAGCTGACAGGGACAATGGGTTATTTGTCCTGTATTTTTCAGACATTTGAAAAATATACAAAATTACCTCTAAATAAATACTATGTAGATATTTGTTTTGAACACAACTGAACAGAATGGTAAAGAAAGTAAATTTGAGCACACTTGTTCCCTTCTCCCAAGTCCCAAATAAAGCTGTTTTGCAAAACCAGTGCAGTGCTTTCAGATAAAATTCCTACTCCTTGGTATTTCACATACTGTTACTGAAATGGGGTTGTGCCATGTTATTAGCTAACTAGCACTGGCTAATTTACAGATCAGTACACCAATAAAAATTATTTCAAGACTGTAAGATGCAACAGATATGCCTGTTTATTGTTTGGCTGGAAGCTACAAGAGTGGGTTCAATTCCAAACCTAAAGAGTAACAGGGAGCTCTGGTAGCATAGTGCCTAAGGCACTTGACTGCTAATCAGAAGGCTGGTGGTTCAAACTCACCAGCCAATCCTCAAAAGGAAGATAGGGCAATCTACTTCCGTAGTGATACTGCCTCGGAAACCCAAGGAGGGGTTGCTATGAGTTGGGTACGACTTGACGGTACATACCACCACCACCACCACCACCACAACACCAAAGGGTAATTAGGGGCCATATTCTCAGGGGTCTCACCAGGCTCTAACAGACCAGTAAACCTCTTTTTTTTTTTATGATTTTGAGTTTTGTTCTACATTGGTTTCCCACTGTATCCAGGATCTACTGTACTGATCTCTTTCTGAGTAGGTGACAGTGGTAGCTGGGTACCATGTAGTTCTTCTGGTCTCATATAGACCTTCAAACTTCTTTGGAGGCCTTAGAAGAGAATATTGGTCCTGGGCCTTCTTCTTGTTCTGTGCTCTCTTCCCAGGCAATTCCATCTATCCCCATGGCTTTAAATATTTAATCACAATAAATTCTGTGACTGAAATTTGTACCTCTCTTCTGAGTTTCAAAAGGAACCCTGATGGCACAGTGGTTAAAGTGTTTGACTGCTTCTGGAAAGATTACAGCCTTGGAAACCTTATGGGACAGTTCTATCCTGTCCTATAGGGTCACTACTCAGAACTAACTAGATGACAATGCTTTGTTTTTTTGGTGCATTTCAAATCTACATATCCAACTACTTTCCTAATATCCCTATACAAATTAATTACAGGCTTCTTAAACCAAACAGTTGTAAGACCAAATAGTATCTCCTACTTTTTCCTCCCCCAAAATCTGTTCCTTCCCTATACTGATGTAAGTATGACTTCCCATCCATGTAATTTCAAACCAGAAATTAAAAGTCATCCTTGGTTTATTATTGTATCCTCTCTCACCCTCAACACATAAACCATTATCAGGTCTTATTGACTGTATCTGCAAAATACACTCTGAATCTATTCAGCTGTCTTCAAATCCACTGACACTTCCATAGTCCAAGCCACCTGGACAACTGCAGTAACTCAGCAGGACTGCCCACTCTGTCCCTGACTCCCTACAATCCATTCTATAGACAGTAGCCAGTGTGACTGTTTTTCCATTTGCAAATCAGTTAAGTGTTTTCTGTATTCTATGGCAACTATTGCAATTGAAAAACAAAAACAAAAACAAAAAAACCTCACCGCATTGAGTCGACTGGATTCATAGCGACCGAGGTGCTATTTCTACGGAAGTAGATTGCCCCATCTTCTTTCCGAGGAGTGGCTGGTGGGTTTGAACCGCCAGTCTTCTGGTTAGCAGTCAGATGCCTTAGGCACTATGCCACCAGAGCGCCCTAATTATTGCAATACAAGCTAATAAAAGAAACCTGAGACTTAGAAACCCCAAACAATGTTGAGAACGTGCACTATCAGAGTGTGAAACAGTTTTCACCACCTTTAAGCTGAGCGTAATCTTTAAAAATGTAAACCAATTCATTCTTTTCCTCTACTTAAAATCTTTCAATAGCTCTTATGTCTTTAAAAGTAAAATCTAAACTTCTTAGTCTGTGCATCACCTGACCCTCTTTCTTCAGCTTTAACTTCAAGGCACTCTTCCCTCTTCTCACTGTGTTTTGGCCACCTGGCTGTCTTGTAGTTCTAACAAGCTCTTCCCAGCTTTCATTTCCTTTGTCTGGCATTCTCTTTCTCTTTGACTCTCTGCCTAAATAACTTCTATTTATCCTTAAGCTTTTAGTTTTCAAATCCTTTCCCTGGCACTCCAACTGAAAGCAAACCAATCTCTTATAATTTCTCGTCATAACTTCTACTTTCCATTCAAAGCATTTGCCATAATTTATAATTACTGTATATATTTGTGTGTTTTTCTTTGCTTAATGTCTGTCTGTCTTACCCACTATAGTGTTAAGTCCCACAAGGGCAATGACTTGTCAGTTGTTAACTATAAGAGTTCCAGTACCTGGCACAGAGTAGGTACCCAATCAATATTTACTAAGGGAGCGAATAAATCCTTGCATAAAGACAGTGCCAGGGAAAGCAATCAAACCCGTGAAGGTTCTCCGATGAGCTGAGTATTCATTCAACTGGCATTATGGGCTCCCCAAATTTTGTCTTAAAAAGTCTCAACTTGGCAAATTTAAATTTTATAGAAACACTATTTTATACAAAACTTTTTTTTTCCCCCTTGAGTCAGTAACTGGGAATAAGACTGACAA